CACCCCTTGTGCCTGGGGAGAAGGGAGACACAGGCAGCTGCACACACACACACACAGACACAGACACAGCAGGTATATTTATTTTTTTAATATACACACACACACACCCCCCGTATGTATGTATGTATACATACACATATAAAATTGCATTATACACACGCAAACTGCCCCACAGCTATTCTTCTTATGTACGTATAGACAGTACCCATAGAAACCAGCATGCATACAGTAGTTAATTACGCACGCGCAGAAACACACTCAGCCACCCTTTATATATTATATATGTGTGTGTATACACACACACACGTCCATGCGGACAGTTACTCTGTTACATAGCTCTGTGCGTTCGTACCCTCCCCGGGCTGAGGCACCCTTTCTGTGCAGCTGTGTAATGTACACGGCACGCACCAGCTGACACCAGCTATACCATAACATGGAGCGTGTGGGCTGAGGGGTTTTTATTTTACGCCTCCAGGCTCTCACAGACACCGTGCTTACAGAGACACTGGTCACATATAGCTATGTATATGTATAAATACAGCTATATGATATCCTGTCTCTCACACACACACACTCTCTCTCTCTTTTTAAAATCCTTACCTAATATACCTATGTATTTAGACATACATATGCATGTGCGTTTAGGTGACACACACTTTTCTCTCTCACCTGTTTTATATACACCCAGACATTTATACTCTCTCTGTAAATGTGCATGGTCTCAGACACTTTCATTTTTATATATATATAAAATGATACATAATATCCAGTGTATTCTATATATATGCCATATGTTATATATTATGTATCATATAGTCTATTATTCATGCTTATATATATATATATGCTTATATATTTGATATATAATACATAATTGCGCTATACATTCTTGCTTATTTTATATATATACACACACAGATATATTAGAACATTAGTTGTAATTATAGAATTATATAATATATTACATACATATACATTATAAACCCACCCCCCCCCCCCCCCACCCCCCCTGCCAGTCACCTGATTGCAGAAGGCTGTCAGGTTGACCAGGCATTATTTCCTCTTCATAAATCCGTGCTGACTGGTCCTAAAGACCTTCTCGTCCTTCATGTTTCTGGAAAGGGTTTCCAGGGTTATTTGCTCCATCTCCTTCCCAGGGATCAAGGTGAGTCTGATGGGCCTATCATGTCTTGGATTCTCCTTCTTACCCTTCTTGAAAAGTGACACTGACTTTCTTCCAGCCTGCAGAAACCTCCCCTGATCACCATGATACTTCAAAGATTATCAAGAGTGGCCTCGTAATGCCATGGGCCAGCTTGCCCAGCATTTGTGGGTGCATCCTATCCAGGCCCTTTGACCTGTGAATGTCCAGTTTGTTTAAATGATCTCTAACCTGCTCCTATCCAGCACAGGTAAGGCTTCGTTGCCAGAGGAAGACTTCCTTCACAGACTTTCCCACTGGTCTCACATTCCTGGGGCCAGTTTTGCCAGTAAAGACTGATGTGAAGATGACCTTCAGTACAACTTGGCCCCTTCCATGCCCTCTATCACCAGGTCCCCTGCCCCACCCAGCAGCAGGCCCATATTTTCCCTAGTTGTCTTTTTGCTGCTGATGTCTCTATAGAAGCCCATCTTTTGCCCTTTATGTCCCTCACCAGATTCAGCTCCACATGGGTTTTGGAACTTCTAACTTTATCCTGGCATGCCCAGACAGTCTCTCTATATTCAGATGACAGTTCTGTGTTTGTGTATGTCATCTTATATAGTCTTTGGCTCAGCACGGCTCAGCACCCACGCAAAATGAAGCTGCTCGGCTTGATTTAGGCCCTGAGCGCGGCCCATGGCGCCGGGCGTTGGCGTGACTTGTGCCCGGGGCAGCCCACATGGGCTCCACGCCCGCTGCATGGCTGCAAGCACGGCACGGCTCAGCACGGCTCGGCATGCTTGGCATGGCTCAGCACGGCTCAGCACACTTGGCACGGCTCAGCACGCCTGGCCCGGCTCAGCACGGCCCGGCACAGCTTGGCACGGCCCTTGCCAGCCGCCTCCCTGCCCTGGTGGGGCAAGCGCCTTTGCTGTTTATTAAAGGCCTGCCTGAGCAGCTTGCACCGAGCCAGGAGCCACGCAAACGTCGTTATTGCACCAATAACAACGGCTCAGGGAAAGCACGGCGCTACTGCAGCATCCTGCAAGTGGCTAGTACCATTAGAGGAAAAAAACCCTACATTTCGAGAAGTGAGCCCCCCTTTTCTTCACGCTGTGACTCAAAAATTGGGAGAGAGCAGGGCGGAGGGGCAGGAAGGCAGGCGGACCCTGCCTGGGCTTTTGGGGTGAAGTACAACAGAAAGAGATGAGGGCCGTCAGCACAGCAACTGCTGGCAGAGTTTTAAGACCAGTTTTAATTGGTTTGTTTTACACGATAATGTAAAATTAGAAGTCAGGGGTTTTTTAGTAGTTACTTTATTAAAGCTACAAAACCAAGTTAAAATTCCTACGCTATTCACATACAGCTAGCAAGTTTCTAACTTCATGGAACAGGGACAGACCAGTGCCCAAAGGGTCCAGAAACAGTGACGGAGGCAGAGCTGCTGCCTGGGTTAAGACTACAGGCTTAAGACACCGGTGGATCTCGCACAGGAGCTTGGCAGAGTTCCCGATGCTGCATTGGAAGAGACGGTGCCCCGATTTCCAGTGCAAATGCAAATTCTTTCAAGATTACGGATTACACTGTACCCAACGTGTTCACAGCTCAGGGGGAGGAAGGCCGCTGGAATGAGCAACCTGGGTAAATCGCCTCTGCTCGCTCCAGGAAGGGCAGAGGGAAAGGGTTTCTTGCCAGCGGCCCAGGGCCCACACATACAAATATGTACAAAGAACTGGACACAACCCCGCAAGAACCGGTGTTTGACTCCCTTGCTGAGGCCAGCAGCTGCCAGGAACGACAGGCGCCGGGCTTCTGCTGCAGCAAGCGATCCCAACACTTTTTTTAGAGTCACCAGCAACGTGGCCTAAAGCAGCGCAGCACAACCCAGTCAGGGGGCAGCTTCTGCGCTCCTCAGTTAAGCTCCTCCTTGATAGGGGTGCAGCCTGAAAAAAAGCTGGTGTTGCTACTCAGCATTCTCTTCTTCCTCTTTACAAACGGCACCTGGTTCTCCTGGGACTCCTCATCTCTCACGAGCAGGGAGGCAGCAGCGCTGGGCTTCTTCATGAACACATCTTGGTCCGTGATGTCTTTCAGCACCTGTGAGAAAAAGAAAAGCAAGGGAGACAATTGTGGAGTTGGTCACCGCGCTGGAGAAGCCAGCCAGCTCGCACTGGAGCTTGGAGGCAGCAAAAACAGGAGCTGCCAGGCCAACGTCACCACTCACTCAATTTCTTTACTCAAGTCAAAATTCTAAGGACAAATGCATGGGCTGAGCAGGAAGAGACGGCATTCGGAACGGCGTGCAGAGGGGACGCAGGGGATAATGAATGCGTTTAGCTGAAGCAAAGTGACAGCTGCCAATCAGAGCACCCAATGGCTTAAGAAGAGTGAGTCTGGACGCAGGAAGACATGATTTTGGCCTACGAGCTCCTCAGTTACCAGTCTCTCATTGCTGGCAGGTGCAGCAGGAAAGCATGGCAAGCCTGTGCAGCACAGTTTTAGTATGAAAACTTAAGAATTCAGTAAACTCAAAAACAAGCTGGCTTGACAGCTGTAGCCTGTCCCGAATTTTCTAGCAGCAGTCTGTCATCTTGGGTTTTCCCTTCTTTCAGATCCGTCGCCAGCTGTAAACAAGGGGCGCACGTATTCGGAACCACCGCGCTCTCTTACGGCTTTAGGCCGTACCTTTGTACTTGGCACGATGCACACGGGCTGGAAGAAGGTCTCCCCTGCGGTCACTTCAGTGGGGTCTTCGAGTTTGAAGGAACCTTCAGAGTCCCTCGTTTGGTTCTCGCACAGGGTGGCGTCCTGCGGGGCAGTACTACTTTGAAGCGCTTTCCCAATACCCATCCCTTCCTTCCCCACCAACAGCTGAAGAAATACCAGGGGTCCCTAAGCCACCTCCTCTCCAGCTGCAAAGAAGCTCGCGGCACAGGACGCTGGATGCCTCTGTCAGGCAACTGGTTTTGTAAAACAGTCAATAATTAAAGAATTACTACGGGAGGCCTCTGCTTCAAATCTCTCAGGTCCAAGAGTAAGGCAGACATTTCTAGCAAGAGTTCTAATGAACAGCAGTTGCTCGTGAGCCTTCCTGATGCTACAACTCCCTCCCCAAGTTATCCCTTCCATTCTTTAAAGAAAAAAAAAACAAAACTGAAAATAAGTTAAGCTTTTGTGGCACCTGGAGCTAAAGATACAGCTTTTATTTACTAAGTGCAAAAGACAGACTTAAATGGTTTGTCTTCAGATTCACGGCTGACGACTGGCAGCAGGTAGATCTGCGTGACTTGGGACATCACGCAAATTTCTACATTGAGTGCAAGAGCCTGGCACTGCAGCGGAAAACTTTGTACTCCGTCACCACAGATAAAGATTGAATTACGGTGACATTTACAAACGTGTCGGAAAGGTGGCTAAGCTTTAGCGTGACTAAAACGTGCACGCGGGCTAACAGCTTAACCACGTAACCATCCAGCTTCGCTTAAAGGCGCTGTGCGGTCTGGATGTTGGGTGCAGGCCCTTTCGCACCCCAAAGGCAGCACCACTCACCTGAAAGCCAGGGTCTCTGTTTCTGCATTTTGCCGAGTCGCAGCTACAGCCCTCGGTGCAGCCCAGCTTCTGCTTCCTGCAGCCACACTGCCGATTTCCACACCGGCCCTTGCAGGAGCACTGAGCGAGAGAAGAGTTCTGTGCAGAAAGAGCTTCGGGGTTTTATAGACTGCGTCTAGATTGCCACAGCTGCCAACACCTGGGGCAACCTAAAGGACAGCACCATCCCCAAGCTGCCACAAACCATTTATCGTTTCACCCTCAGTCTTGCGTCCCAGGAAACGAAACAAGGTCTTTCCACCTACAGAGCCATCTCTTGCTTCAGCATCCCCAAAATAAGCATCTTCAACTTCTCAGTCCCTGACTTCAAGCTATCCAAAAGGACGCCAGTTTCGGTGTGGGTTAAACAAGCTAACGTTTGCGCACCTGAAGGCAAACCTGAGTCGCCAGAGCCCGAGCCCTCCATCCGGATGGAGGCGACCCAATTCAGCTACTTCACGGCAAAGCAGAGCCAGGAATCTCTGCCACTCTGGGCACGGGAGGCAGTAGCAGACGGCACGGGCCAGCTGCTCCAAGCCACAGCTCCGAACTGAGCAGTAGCTTGCACTGGAGCTCTACTGGGCTATGGAAACGAACTCGGAAGGGCCAGATATGAAGCACAAACCCTTCTTCCTGCGACGTGGCCAAAACACTCCCCCAGAACCAAACCACCGGTAGTACTGCAGTTCAGAATTTATCAGGTTGGCAAGTTCCAGCGAAAGGAACTAAAGCTAGACCACCTTGAAATTCCTAAGCTTTTCTGGGCTAACCGCTGACGTTTTCACAGTCACTCCCTAGTGCGATGGGTAACAATTTACCCCGCTGTGGAAGGGGAAGACCACCACGTCTCGCAGTGGGGGCTGAGCTTCGTAGCAGTTCAAGCCCAAAGAGGCCCCTTGGTTCACGGTGCCTTGTGTTCAGCACGTTCAAACCGTCTCTTCCATCCCACCAGGAATTAATGAGCAGCAGGCTGAAGCTTCAAGCCCAGCAGACCGATACAAACAGAAAACAGAAGCCGAGGCTTCTGTCAGGACCGGGAGCCACAGCACACCACAGGGGGAACAGTACGCAGGGATACGTGACAGGCCAGCCCTTTTTCCCCCCCCCCCCCCCCAAAAGAGGCTCCACAAAGGAATAAGGCTGCTGTTAGGGCTCACTATTTTGCTGCTGACTGAAACACGTAGGCCAGTTCGGCCACAGGCAGCAGGACAGAGCACGCGTGTCTCATGGTAGACGACTTGTCCAAGGGAAAATGACTTCGGAAGGTGTTGCTGACTACGGGCAACTTTTGTTCTTTCTGTCAGAACACGACAAATACCCAGTGCCAGCAGTACTATCGTATTAAGGCTGTTCAGAACGGCAGTGGAGACACTAGCCTCACTGTTGCTCTGAACACATACTAGATCCTCGGGGATACAGGCAAGTGATTCCCTTATAGGTAACAACAAGTCAAAGGTAACTGGATCTTACCCCCATCACGCTTTTCTTTGCTCCTTTGACTGCTTTTACCGGAACCCACTCCGCATCCTCCATCTCCCCTTCGGACTCCCCCGAGTCAGAGAACAGCTCTTCCATATCCATTTCTGGGGTTGGTGCACGGGGTTTTGCTGTCGTTTGCCGGCGAGCCTTTGGCTGCACACAGAAATTACAAGGGTTGAGGCCCCAGAAGAAATAACAGTGGGTTTACATCTTATTAAGGCACTTCAGAGCCCCACCACCACAGCCCCATCCCTCTGAGAGCCAAGGCGGCTGCAGGGTTAGGGAGGAGCCAAAAGATCAAATTGTCAGGATTCAAAAGTCAATCAGTCAATTTAAGCTGCTAGAGTTGACAGATCCTTGGAAAGTTAGTAGATTTGTGTCACAGTCTTGACAAAACAGTTCTAAATCATTTATTCCTCCCAGCACTAAGATTTGGCTCTTTTGCAAGGCAATGATTCAGTTTGCTCTGACAGCTGCCTTGCTCCATGATTCAGAGACTGGAAATGCTACAGAGAAAGCACCTGGATTGCTAAGGAGGATACAGAGTCAGACATAATTAGACTGAGGAAACAAGTTTGGGTTTTGTTTGCTTTTTTTTTTTTTTTCCCAGATCAAAAAACTAGTGCAAGCTAGTTTCAGAAGCATTCTGGAAACAGAAAGCTTAAGGACTGTCTGAAGCCGAGAACAGGCCTACTTCAGTCAGCAGAACAAGATGCTGTGTAAAAAGCAACTTGGGAGAAAGAAACCCAGGTTATTACTAGCTAATAAACCTAGGTTATTACTTGTACAATACAAGCATGAAAACTGGTATGCAGAATCTTTACTTTGGGTGGAATATAATCAAAAGAAGAATCTGGGGACTCGGACGGCACTTTCTGAATGTGACGGAGTTTCTGTCCACTGGCAATTTGGAGGAGCAGCAGTTTCTGTTAAAAGGGACAAAAAAGTCAGCTTTGCAAAATACACGAACCCAGCTGCCAAGCAGCTCTATGACTTACGTCTGTGCAGATCTCTACCTGCTTAAGAGTGTCATTTTCCTGGAGAAGTTCTTGGTTCTTCTCACAGATCTCCCTCATTTTCTCCAGCTCTTCCTCCTGTTTGCAAGACAAGATGAAATCTGTAGCCTTACACAGGGGTAGCACAAGTAGCTGTTTGGGACAGATTTTTCTATTTGGATCTTTCTTGCAAGATCAAAGGAGCTTCTCTGTACTCTCCAACGGGAGACCAGCTCTGGCTAATCACGAAAATCAGTAGTGCTACTACCTTGTTTTATGCCTAACACTGCCAATACAAGAGAGAATCCGATCCTTTCGGAGCGACCGTTTAAGATCTAAACCTCCCTCTATTTCCAAGGCTTATCTCCAAATCAGGTGCCCCTAGGACTGATTTTGCTTTAATACATCACTGAACATGCCTTTCCACAGGAACTTGCTACACCACAAGACAAGGTGCAGCTGGTGACATGTTTATATGATCAGGCTAAAGTTCTTCCATTGCTGATAGCACAGCGGAGCTGTGCTCAGTAAAGGATGAGTAATAGCATGTTGAATCTCCTAACTAAAGGTGTTCCGAGCATGGAGGAAGCGTGTGTGAGCTGGTCAGACTGTGGCCGGCCTCATTGCTGCTTTTACATTTATTTAATGGAAGATACATAAGAGAAAAAACCCCACAGGCTTATTCAAACCTGTATAGCAACTATCCCCTGCAAGCAACTGAATGGAGCAATCTTAGCTACAAATGGAAGTGCTCTCAATCCTTCTGCACCTTCCTCACTCCAAAGCTACTCTTCCAAGTACCAGGTAGCCCTGAGAAGCACGCCCCCCCAGCCACATCCAGACACTCTACCTGGAACTTGAGTCGCTCTTGTAGCTGTTTCTCTTGCTCACTGAGTGAATCTTCCAGTTTTTTCTCTGCTGCTTCTTTTTGCTGAAATTGGCTAAGCAGGTACAGAACCTAAAAGCAAGTTAATATAGCAGAGGCAAACAGGCGTGAATTCCTAGAGACATCTGGCAGCTCAGGCAAAGGCCTTGACAATTTCAGAAAGATTCTTTCTGCCACTTCCAGCACGATTCTGCTCTGATCTACTTTAAAAGTTCTCTCGTGCTCAGGTGTAACATCCTCGCTTACAGCATTGCAAAAAGTCATTGAACAAAACAACTTGCATAGGACAGATGAATAGGGAGATTTCTCGGGCTTTTATTAGCTACCCTATAAGAGTCTAACAAGTCTTGATCAGATATACAGCAACAGATCGGTTTCAGCACAACGCTTTGCCTTTATCTCTGAGCAGATCTGGGAATCAGAGTCCCAAGACACAGGAGCTCTCAAGATTTCTATCGCTTATGGTTTACCTTCTCCTGGTGGTGCTGTTCCTGCACCAAAAGCTGATTTTGGAACTCGGCCTCCATCTCCGTTACGTGGTTTCGCTCTTCAATCAGCATCTTTTGTATGTCTGAACAGTTGGCTTTACTCTGCTGAAGGCTGCTCTCCAACTTGCTTTCCTGCACTTTTGAGGAGACCAGCTGAGAGACAAAAGCACGATGATTGCTTGGGTCAGTGAGTTCCATGTTTCACAGTGGCCGTTGGGGCAGACCTGCTTCAGCCTGGAGGCGAAGTATTTCTGCCTAACTTCCAACCACCCGAAGAACTGTTCTGGCCATCAGCAACGAGGAGGCTAGATGAGGCACTCGGAGCTAGACATCTGACAGCCAGTATGGCAGTGCAAAACAGCAGGAAGTTTCGTTAACAGTTCTAGATTCATCTCCTTTCCTGCAACACTTTAAATCCGAGTACTGGGGGGGACCCCAGAAATGAATGCTCTCTCATATTAGCTCCTTCATTCTTTTCCTTTAATTTCCAAGCACCGGGGACTGATGTCATTCTGCCATTCAGCTGCTCTTTCCTTGATTCCACATTAGCCCAGTGCTTACTCTCCTACCCCCAGTCTTGTTCAAGCTTCTCCCATCCCAACATCCATGCCACTGCTTCCCCTCTGACCTCAGAGGGTGGTGCCCTTGTTTCCCTGCAGAGTGCCTACTTGTTCAGTAAGTATTTAAGTACTTTCTCTTCCACTTCTGAAATTTGTTTCTTCCCTTTTACTATTCCCATGCAAGCCTCCTGTAAGCACAGCTTTAGCTTGACATCTCCAGACCTGCGTCTGTTCCGTTTCCCTCTTCCCTGTTCTTTTTGGATTTCAGTCCCCAAAATGATCTACAGTACAGGAGAATATTTTAGTCAGAAGTTGCGAGGGAAATAAACCTCATCCAGTACAGCAGTGCTTTGCTTGAATTCATCTCTGCTATCAGCCTGTTAGTCACTTCCTTTCATTCCGGGCTAAGCATTTAGAGTCTTTGTTTTTAGTGATAAAATAGGAAAATTCAGAACTTACCTCTCCAAGGAGATACTTCAAAGCACATTTAGCCTCTAGAATTGTTGCAATGCTGTCCCAGCGCTGTTTCACACGATCTCCGTTGTCTGCGTCTAAGAGTTTCTGCTGCAGATCCGCTATCTGGGCGCTCCTTTGGAAGAAGGCATGTATTTGAGGTTATGACACAGAAGAACCCGGCCTAGTGCCTGGGCTAAAATTAGTGTTACCAGAATATTAGACAAAATAGTTCAAGTCACAATTTTGACTGCTTAGGACAGCAGCTAGAGTCTGCAGTGTTATACCAGGGAGTTTCTCCTCCCCTCCACACTTTTCAGTTAAAAGTGCAGTGTTTCCCTCATACAGAGATGCTCACAAACAGCTGAGAACAAAGCAATCTTAGTGAGCGAGTAGCGTCCTCATATCCCCACATTTAGGAACAATTCAAACCAGGAAAACCACATGGTCTTACTTCATAGTTTTTAGTGTCAGTGCATAAGTTATTTTACTCTCTCCTCTGTTTCACAGAGGAGTTGTAGATAGAGATGAGGAAAAAAAAAAGAAGGCAAGGGTGTGCAACCGGCTTTGTCGTACTGCCTTACCTGAGCCCCATCTCAGTTTCCAGGCTTTCTATCTGCTTTGATATGGAAACATCCATCTCCGATGCCTGCAAATCTGCGAGGGAGTAGGTGCGTCTCTAAAGAATTACAGCAATGGACAGAAGGGAGCAAGAGGTGAAGAAATGCACAGAAGACCGGGCTTTCATTTACAGACGTTTCAGCGGAGTCATACTATTATAAAAGTGTCTACAGCTTAAATTCCATTGCTCCTTCCCAAAAGCATAAAGTCTTTGATAAGGGGTGAGGCCCACTCACATCCATCAGATGCATTGCATTAAGAAACAAGTTACTTCAGCAACTGTTTCCTGACATGCCAGAGGACAGCAACAACGTTAACCCTTTCTTCCAGAAAGGGAACCATCCCCATCCCTACCTTCTGAGGGAAAAGGTCAAACAGGAGCGAATGAGAGTAAGCGACAGTAACTGCTGAACAGCCAGCAGCATGGGACAGGGAAAATGGCTTTTCCCTCTCTCTTACCCGCAGTTTTAGAGGTGGGTTTTCCCCAGCCTCTTTCTTCTCTTTAAGCTGAAGGAGCTCCTGCGCCAAGATCTTTCTGTCCTCCAGAAGGTCTGCAAGGTGCCGTCGAGCCTCTTCAGTACTAACGAGAACCTCTACTTCATTTGCAAGCCAACTCTGGAGGAAAAAAAAAAAACAACCCACCAAAACCCAAAAAACAGTACAGTGGTTTGTTGTAGTCTCAACTTCAGGACTGAATCCTTCTCTGAAATGCCTTCACAGATTAACTGAATAATCACATTGCCTCCCTTAATATGCAGCTCCGTGTTCCTCCCCTCTGCCCTCCAGCCATCAACCCCAGCAGCACCTACTGAGTTAGAGCTAAGTTCGCCCATTGTGGATTCCAACAAACAACACATTGTCACCCACTTTTACTCGTGCAGCAACTCCTTCCATCCCCCGGTTTTGACTCTCCTTCCGCTTATCTGCAACCTCCCGTTGTTTCTGCAGAGCATCCTTTAGGCGCTTGTTAGCAGCTGCTGCCTGTGAAACATTTTACACAAAAGCTGAACAGTAGTTATTTCACTTAATCTGCAACAGTTGAAAACATGAGGTATTCACAATGCAAGCCAGACAGCGAGACAATCGGAAGAGAGTGTAAGGTTAATGAAACTTTAGGATTAATCGAAGACTAGAGAGTCCCTGACTTAGTTTCCCTTGCTGAGATTCCCGGTTTAAAAAGAATCTGCTTCTAGGCCTAAAGGTAGAAAGAAGAAAGCATCCAAAATGGTTTCAAGATGCATTTCTTCTATACAGCCGTCCTGAAAGAATTTTGAACTGCAATCTAGCATATCCACTCAAGCTCATTTTACACTTTCTGGCTTGGGTATCTGTAATAGATTTGCCACGGCAACCTGATGCTCAAAGGGTAATTTACCCCTTAAAGAGCAGATTTCACTAGAATCCCTCAAAGGCTACAGGACAGAAGCACGGTATTTTTCTACAGAGAGAAAAGCCCTTATTTCCAGACCTCCAAACTGCGTTTAAGAAATTTCTGCATATCTTATTACAACCTCCAACCACACTTTGCAGACCTTTAGGGACTGGTCAGGAGTTTCTAGCAGATATTGGCTCCTTACCTCTTCTGTTTTGCGCCGAAGTACGTTGGCCTGCTTCTGGAAATCTCGTTCTAGCTTAAGTAGCTCATACTGTCTCTTGCGATCCTGCAGGGAAATAGTGTTAAGACAGATGGAAAAATCACGTCACGTTAATACCTCTGGCCAGTTTCACACTTCTGGGAACAGAACAATTACGTTTGCTATTCCGCAATGCAAATGCTTCGTGATAATAATTGCACTGATCATTACAAGCTTAAGCCATGTAGTACCCCTGAAAACAAATGGCTGTTAGGCTTAAAGTGGCTAGGAGGGTCTCCACACTTTCCATCAAAAAGGTTTAGGAGCCTGAAGGTGGTCAGAGACTGCAGACCAGAAGTTTAAGACTTAGTGTTCCAAAACACTGGGGAGCAAACTTCTTGCAGTAAGAGTTCCTGCGAGACCAGAACTCAAAAGGTACAGATGTTTGCTGCCCATTGCACTTGAATGCTACAAGCCAGCTAGATTTCATTAACAGTTCTCACTCTTTACCTGCAGATTCAATATTCCTTTGAAAGTTTTAATACCTCCCATTCTGCGGCCAAACCCTATAACTTTAAATACTTCCAAATATTAAATACATTTGCCTTCTGCTTTAGAGCTGAATCACGACGACAGTGTTGATAGCTTTAAGATTGCCAGTCACAAGCAAGTGAGTCAATTTACGACAACTGGTGAAAGGTGGCGACCATATGAACTAACGTTATCTTCAAAGCATTACCCAGATGTTTTTCAGATGCTTGCAAGTTAAACAAAGCCTTGCAGCGAACACGTCAATGATTTGTCTCGCTCTTTGGAGGGAGGTACAGTTTGGGGGCTTATTGTTTGCTCACCCGTTCTTTCAGCTGGATCACTTCCTTGTCCTTCTGTTGTTTCCATTGCCTGAATTTCTCCGCATCGTCTTTGATTTGGCGCATCAGCTGTACCCTTTGGTTTTTCATTTCCTGAAAAGTAGAAGTGGCTGGAAGAATTGTCCAGTACTTGTGCTCTGGGTCGTTTCAACCTGCATTCCCCTAGTGTGCCTGTCAGGGGTGGGGAGCGGCAGGCGGGAAATATTCCCATGTGCTGCCCGCTCAGAGTACACGCCTAAGGACACGCTCAAAGTGCTAAAACCCAGGAATTCATTTTTTAAAGCACGAAGGGAAGACAAACATATGTACTGCATACACATGGAAACCAAAGCGCAGTCAAGTGATTTGACTGAGGCAATATATTATCAGAATAGCCAGAAGACACTTTGGACTTCTTTCATTCCTCCAAGTCTCAGCAGTCACCTGCCTATCGTGCTACACCCGCAATCGTGGTCACGTAGCCAAAGGAATCGTGCCAAAACCTGGTGCTCTCAGTCTAACAAAACAAAGCGAGCGCCTTCTGTCTGGAAGCTGCTTTGTCTACACTGGAGCAAGCCCGAGAACTGCATGCGAGGGTTAGTTACCCTGATCTCCTGGTTCAGCTTGGTGACGGTGCGTTCTGTAGATTCCTTCAGCTTTAAGAGCTTTGATTGTTCATTCAGCTTTTTTTTCAGCTCATTAATTTGCCCTTCCAACTCCTGCAGTCTTTTCCGACGCCGTTCACTCAGTCTGTAAAGAAATCACACTTTAAAAACAGCCCCCCCCAAGTGTTATTCTCAAATGAGTACGCTCCAACTTTAGAGACACTTTATGAAAAATAAAGCAGTTGTGTATTATCATCTTTCCCACTGATAAAAGCCCACTATCAGGCTTCTCTGCAATTCATACAACTCTAGTGGCATGTTAGAGATGCATTTGCACCAAAATAAGAGCTTTTACAAAAAGTAGAAACACAAGACAATGAATTTTCACAGGCGCATTAACACAGCTTTCAGGGCTGTAAGTCACACGGCTTGCACAGTCACTTACTTAGCTTGGTTGACATCCTTCTTTGCCATATGCAGAGCAAGGATCAGCTCCTCCTTTTCTTTTTGCAGACTGCTGACCTCCAATTCCAGATCCTTGATATTAGTCTAGAAAGGACAAGAGTAGTAAGCCTCCAAATAAAAACCTTGAAACTTCACTCCGAGACAAAGCTTTAAGACGGGAGGCCTTGGGAAACCACGTTCCTTTCCAACAAGCTGTAAACTACCTTGTCTAAAAGCAGTCTGAGCGTCAAAAGTCCTCCATACACCGAGATCTTAGTCTACAGAACCACTGTAACAAATTAAAAGTTATGACTGAACAATTCTAGAGATGGGACATCCCAGCACAGCTAGCAAACAGGGAAAGCCAGATCAGCTGGCTGTACTATGAGAGGCAACAGTGAAGTACTCGCATTTTGGCTTGGTACGGCCAAGCAAACCTCTGAGTAGAAAGCAGAGGAGCCCATTTCACATAGAACAGCTAGTGGCTAATAGCTTATTTCAGGGCAAAGACTGTCTTCTGGGGTCATCCCCCCACCTTCTCTACTGACACCTGTAGCTAACTGCCTCCCATGCCCAAGGGGGCAGTGACCCAGCGTAAGGAAATAGATAGACCCAATAAGAACACGCTCATGAGAGGACAGATCTCCTCCCTTCCCTCCTCAGCACGGAGGGACTGCATTAATTGGCAAAAATAAACTGCACGCATCCTTCCAAGAACTATTTCAGAAGAGTTTACCTGGTACTGGGACTGAATGGGCTCCAGCTGACTATCATTCTGAGTCATTTTTTTGGCAAGTGCCTCTTTCAGAGCCAGGGCTTTATTCAATTCAAGCAGCTCTTTGGACATCTGTGCTTGACGGAGGGCATGTTGAGTGGTGAAGTCATCTGAGGCTCTCTTGGTATCCTGGCCCATTTCTGCTTCCTGGAGGAGACACAGCAATGAGCAGGAGAGGCCAGTCCAAAACTCTCTAACTACATGATCGCAGTTTCTCCAGAACACTTCAAATTCATTTTTACGTAAAAAAAAAAAAATAGATATTCAGAAATGAGAACAGGTTCTTGATCTTGAACACACTGAGCAAATAAGAGCACAGAAAGGCAGCACATACAAGAGTGACACATATTATTTACCAAACATTTGGGTTACAACACGAGCATAAGGAGGCAGATAAAAGAGGAGTGACGAGGGGACAAGCACACGCCCCGGTAAGGTCTGCACTGCTGGACCCCCCTCACTTACAGCGGCAGCGTCCTGTTCAGAGTTTGCCATCTCTGCAGCAGCTTCCATTGTGGCAGCATTTTCACTCTACGTAGGACAAAGAGAAAAACATTTTGGTAAAAAGGGAAAGATGAAGTAAAATGAAGCTAATAACAGTCTGTTGGCCTATTATGACAAAGCGTAATGTTAGTTTTCTGGACAGAGGAGAATATCTCTGGGAAGAGGATGCCATTGTCTTCCTCCTTTAGTAAAGCCAGCATACTCCTCCCAGACTAGCTGGACAAGGCAGTCTTTCTCGTCTTCCCTGAACTCCAGCATTGGCAGCCAGCTCCTCACAAGAGTCTGGGAACAGGGGCAATGTGTAGCAAGGGAGAACAGAGAAGTTCTCAATTAGACAAAGGTTTGGCAACTTCCATTTAACAGTTTCAGGTCCCTGCCATTTGGGTTGCTCATTAAAATTACCAAGTTTATAACTCTCCTTCCAACTTCTGGATTGTAAATCCATGCTAGTCTCCCACTGTCAGATTCTTTTACGGAGGCTCTTCCTTTTCCCCCACCATGTGCAGCCACTCAAGCACAAGTGGCCTTTCTGCAGCATTAAAAGCACAGCAGGACAGCTTGTTTTGAAGTGGATATCAAGAGTCATTTAATACTTTTAATTCCTGGGCTCCTTAAGCAAGGTTTCTGCAGAGTGGAATCCACTGCTCTGCAGATCAGCAGAAGAACCCTAGGTTTCATTAGTAAACTCGCTTGGCACACTCTTTTCTCTCCCTGGATTCAGTCTTACCTGCAACTGAGCCAACACTTGCTGCAGATTGCGAATCACCTCTACGTTTTCTTTTAGCTCCTCATCTTCCACAGTCTCTACCAGCTTCTGCAGATCAAGCTTGCATCTGCAATGCAGAGGTGGGAATAAGTCCCCGAGTGTTACACGGCACGTTTGTGTCACACGTGCCAACAAGGAACAGCTTTCCCCGCTGAACGTACAAATGAGTTCTGGATAAACAAACACAAGTTGACTGTATCCAGTTTATCCCAACAAAAACATCTAGTGCTGAAAGACACTTCCTCAGCATGAGCAGGGTGTGGAAACACTTACACAGCATGTTGCTGAAGCTGCTCTAGTTTGGCGTTCATCTTCTCATTTTCTTGTTCTGTCTAAGAGAAACCAGAATTATACTGAATTGTAGGACAAGCAAGATAAGAAACCAGAAAACAGCTAATTTATTTGTAGCAAGAGATATGTTGTCAGTCAGTGGCAAATAAACGCACTGAAAGATCGTGCATGATCATTGCCGCTCGTTGGTTTAGACTTAGCACCCTTTTTCCAGGAACATACACTGCAGTGAATCCAAACGAAGCAGAGCTGGGGGGTGGGAAGAGGGAAGAGACAGCGCGCGCTCAAGTGCTGGTATTTAAAACATTAAAGCAACAGAAAAGCTGAGAGATTCCGGTCTGCTTTTCCCCACTGAAGTCACCAGATCTACAGCCCCTGACAGGCTCTGGGAGACTTTTGGTTCTGACTAGCTGAGAGCTAGAGATTTGAAATAAACGTGAAAGGAACATCGAAATGAGATTCCCAACGTGCCCTTACTACAGGAGCTGCTATTGATTAATCTTCAGCTAAAAGGGGAAGTCACACAACTTAAAGCTCTTCTTGGGTAACTGAACCTTACCAGAATGATCCTCTCCAACATCTGTGCTGTCTGACCAGCGGCCTCACTCAGCCCTCTGCTCAGCTTCTGATTCTCCTCCGTTAGCAGCTGGTTCTTCTCCATCAGGGACTGAAGATTCTCTGATGGTGCCATACTACTGAAACATTACGGACAGGTTTGCTTGTGAGCATGACTTCAGTAGAGGTTTGTAATAGCACTGAAATTACCTCCAATTTTCCTAAATAACTTACAATAAATATAGGTTGTAGCAAATACACAGAACTAATTGGAGGAAGTCTAATCTGAATTAAAAAATGTAAGTAATACAGCACAGCAAAAGACATTGGCAAGAGAAGAAAACACCCTTTTGAAAGAGTAATGCTGTTTAACCTATGGTAAGTCTGTAAACTGCATCTACGTGGGGTTTGAAACATCCTCAGAAGACACCACCTACGCAATCCAACTCTACCCTGCCTTTTGTGCTTTTAAGAACAATGGAGATGGAGTTGTCCTAAATTTAGAGGTAGAGGGATGAGGAAGAAGAGAGGGATGGATGGATCCGAGAAAGACGGTTAGTTAGGAAATATGAGAGGAACTAGTCAATGTCTCCTACAACTGATTTTTGCAATCTTAAGGGGTTTGCTACAAAACTAAGTGACCCATGCATGGAATTTCAGTAAGCATGAGGAAAAAAAAAAAAAAGGTCGTCCAGATCCTATTAGAAAGCAACCAGTCTGCTCTGCCCACACTCTACAGCACTGTCTGGAGCAGAGGAGATCCAGAGCCTTTGCTGGTGTGTGACGGCCATCAGTTACTTTGAGCATTAATCTACAAAGCTTACTTGAGAGACACCGGGAGGGTCCCGCCATGGGCCTGCAGCAGTAACACCTGTAGCTGTTGTACCTAGAAAGACAAACAATTACTGGTTGTAAATCTCTCCATGTAGTAACTAGATGGTTGAAGGAACACTATCAAGATCCTGAGTCTTAATAATGAGCCACTTGCTCCACAACGGTCCTTTTACCATTGCCTGTGGAAAGGAATCACGTTGCCACGGTATTTCAAATAATTTGGTCCTAAAAAAAGCTACCTTCTCTTCAGTTTCGTCACCCAGAGACAGCTGACACACTGCTCTGTGCAGGGTGTCAGGGACCTCGCTGATCCAAAGGGCAGCTCTCCCGCTTTGCTGAACCAACGCTCTGTTGCTACCTTTCACATGAGATGGAGAGTCAGGTCACTTGCCTTCCTGAGCTACTTGAATACGTGACTTGAATTTACAGTACATCAATAAACATTCACTAGGCTCTGGTGAGCGCTCCTGTGCGGCAAGCAACACCTCTTACTTGCTCCATTGTGGAACAAGACGACCGAGTTTTCCTGCGGAGAGGCAGCATGAAAGACCATCACGTGCATACAGCCAAGTGAGCAGAGCAAGCCCGGTTACCCTCGGCAGACCCGCCCTCGGGCGCCTCCAGCTTTGGGTTTAACCAGTTCTAGTTTATGCAACTTGGTTCCCTCTGAAGCTGACCACATCGGACCACACTTCACTTCCCCCTCTGCTGGACATAGGCAGGTGATGCCAGCAAGGCAACCATCACTGTATTTCTCATTTTGCCTGTAGCCTAATGGGCAGGCGATGATTTGGTCAGCAGAAGGGAAATGTAAATTACACTAACACTACCATTTTCCTGTGGCATTGAATAGTTGCTGTAGAATTACAAGAAGTATTCGTGTAGTCCCTTTACAGCACTTACACAGCCATCTCGAGAGACAAACACACATTAATTTTTCATATTTTGTGTAGCTAGGCATCCTGCGTCTTTGCTCGCTGTTTACTGAGCTTCGTGCCAAAAGGACAGATCTGCTCCTCTCGCATGAAGAAAGCGCCCAGTACCTGCTGCTTTAGATGATGCAACTCAGCCGCCTGGGGATCAAGGTTGACAATTGGCTTATTTTTTATTTTTCTTGCTCTGTCAGCATAACGCAGAGTATTTAGAGTTTCTTCTAGATTGGAATCCGCTGGGCTTACGCAGGCAATCATGAGAGTGTGGCTGTTACCGCCCAGAGAATCTGAGAAGGAAAACAAGGCACAACCAAAGCTCTGAGAGAGAGAAATGACTAGTAAGATATCATCTTTAAGATATCCAAGACCGCATGAGTGCATCGCCATACTACATACAGCTAGAAGCTTTGTGTCATTGTCATCTACTTTCTCCTCTGCCTCCCTCAGTACTATACTAAAGAGCTTTTCTTGAAAGCCGAAGTCCCAAAATTATGTCTCGGCTCTAAGCACTGACGATTTCGCATCAGAAGCGCCAGTAACATTGTTGTCCTGTTAAGTAATTTCTATAATTGCTGTAATTTCTATATGCCATTTCTGGCATAGTTCTTTCAGGTTTTCTCCTCCCTTCTCCCACACAATAATACTCAAGACCTCCATCGATATCCAGACATTAGAATTCACACTATCTTCTAATTTAAAGAATTACTGTCCAAGAACATATTTGTTCAGATCATCAAGCTGCATGGCATTTTATCCTTTGGTTTTACACTAACACATACTGGCTACTTAGAACTTTTGATCAGAAAAAAGGGCCCCACATCCAGCTCTGCATCCAGTTTCTTTTTATTAGATACTTTCCGATATGGAAAATACTGAAGAGCCTGACGTTTTGTACCAAATTATTTAACTACCAAAAAAAAAAAAAAAATCCCAGTAAATTGCATTATTATAGCCATGCCCATATTTAAGGCTAAATTCAGACAAAAAGTATTAAAAGACCATCACAACTATTGAAAAACAAGTACCACAAAGACCAGACGTTCAGACTAAGAAAGCAAAACATAAATATGATGCAGACAGTGAAGGCACAGACAGCTTGAGCTTCATTCTGGTTGCGATATCCTCCAGTAAGTCGCTATAATTAGGGTATAATAACAGATCTCTGCTTCCAGACTTAACTTCTCATCTTCCTTCTCCCCACCAAAAAAAAAAAAAAAAAAGCACCGAATTTGTCTAGTTTCCTTTTATCACATAGGAACTGCAAAAGAGCAGGACTCATTTATGAGTCCATCTCAACACATTTGCAACCTAAAAATAAGAGTAGAGAAAAGGTCTGGCTTCAGCCAGAAGAGGAACTAAACCAATAAATGCAATCCCTTTGTCAACAGGAGCCACCGCTTTGAACTGTGGTTGCTTGGCTGTCGGGTTTTTTTGCTACTTTGTTATTTAAAGTGCATCTGCAGATTTAGGCTTTGCCATCATCTGTCTCTTACCTTGCAGCAGTCTTGTTAACTTGGAGTCTCTGTACGGGACAAAACCGCCCTTTTTATTTTCATCACCAAGAGCACTAATCACATTCCCCAGGCAGAGGAGACCTCTGTTTATGTTGATGCCTGCACACAAACAGATGACAGCGAGTAGAGCCACCTCAATAGCTAGGAAATGGTCATTTCCTGTCCTTATTAAAAAATTTAAGAAGGTTAATTAACCCTTATAATGTGCTTTTCTTTAAAGAACTGCTTTGCTTTTCCTCACAAGGACTCAATTTATTAACACCAAAGTGGTAAGCAACCCAAGCTATACCAGTCCTTTTCCTACAGACCTTCTTTTAGTCGGTCTCCCTCAGCCTTGGTCTTCTTTTGTCTCTCAGAGCCAGCGAGATCAACCAGGTGTAGCTTGGAGTGAAAACTGCTGTTCCTATGGCAGACATAGACTATTTTACTCTCTCAAATAAACATGCAGTTAGGAAAGCAGCAGTCCCGTGGTTACTACAGCTGAGCTACCGGGCTGAAAAAACATACTTCGTATCAGAGACAGCCAAATAAAGGAACTGCCTCAAGAGTAGCTCAGCTGACTTCATCCAAGACCAAGAAAGAATGACAGGAGTATGAAATTTTGAGTAAGCCTGACTGCTAACAGCTGCTAGGAGTGGCTGCGCAATCACACTTACTTGTCATTTTTCTTTTTCTGATCAATGCAAATGGTGAAGATGGCATGGGACCGTGAGGACTGGGAGTTCATTGCTGTGGAGGCGACCGTTCTGGAATTGTTCCCTTGTTCTAGGCAGGATACAGTATCTTGGGCACAGGTGACGTTTCTTTCTGTCAACCCTACAATCTGTATCCAGGAAGAAAGCATCATTTATCCTCCCCTTCCTCTTCATTCCCACTTACATCAGAAAAATCATCCTGTCTTAGACTACAGCAGGCAAAGCGAAGTCTCTGTGTAAATACACGCTCACAAGACTCAGAGTCTCACTTCAAGCCAGAGGCTTGGTATGGATTCCCCCAGCAAAAATTTATTCTTAGCTCCGTATCAGTAACTAAGTCGCATCACCTCTCCCTCATTCTATTGCTGCACGCACACACCAAGTTCCTCTGTGCCTGCTTGAGCTACGGGACAGAGACAAGGCTCCTCAGCACTCTGGAGAAATCCCTAGCTGCCCTCAGATATCGCCCAGCCAAGCCAGGAGCTGAAAGCTGTGCCAGTTGCAGGCAGAGAAAGGGGAAACTGGCTGAAGGGGGTGGGGTATTTGTGTGGATAGAGTGCAGGTGAGGCAGGTACTAGGGACATAAAGGACAGAGGGGACTGAGCAGTAGGGACTGGTCGTGATCCTTGGCAAGCTCACGCTTTCCTTGAAAAATAACTCGGGCACTTAACTAGTTTCCCCTCAGGAATCCTTTGTTGCACAGTACTTCTGCCAAACCGAAAAGTACAATGGCAACAGAGTTTGAAACTTGGTGAAGGGACCCACAGTACAACGTTCTCAGACATTCACCTAAATCAGCCTGCAAAAAAGTCAGAACAGGACTTGCAAGTGGCTTTGTCACGAACGTCTAACCCTATTGGTGTTACTCTGAGTAAGCTTAAGGATCACCAACCGCTGAATTCTGGGAGGAATAAGTAGTTGTGATGGTTTCATATGCGCTAATACAAAGCAGAGCTCAAGGAGTCAGACAGTTGTTCCACCGAAACATTCGTCCTGAGCCATGTTGCCCCCTCATGTACCCGTATCTAACGGGGCAACAGACCTTTATGCCTTCTTTTGGATCTTCCCGTATACTGATTTGAGAAGACCGTTCTCTTGACGGGCACAGCAGGTCTAGAATATCCTCGTTGTATATCTGAAAGCATCAGGACAGCGGTTCGGTTAGCAGCCTTGCATGAGAACAATTCGCATAAAGAAAGAGGTACAGTTACGCTGCAATCATGGCTGACTTTGCATGACATTCTATTCGTTTTACTGTTAGAGAAAGATACCTAGGACTCAGGATCCAGTTCCTGACAAGACCTTATGTAGTCTTTGGTTTTGATTTAATAAATACCCATTACTTGAAGGAGGTAGCCTCGTTAAAGCTCACTTTATCTGTAATTCACAGCTTTATAATAGTTTGAAAATCAAAACAACTTTTACCTCTAGGTAAGAAACTTTGAGGACGAATTCCCAATCCTGCCTTTGCTCCTTCTCCTTAAACAGCAGTTTGATTACCCGAGGGATGACCCCCACACTAGGTTCATGCTCTTGATTGGCAGTGTAGGTACCTCCCATAGAGTACGTTTTTCCCGATCCTGTCTGTCCGTAGGCTAAGACGGTAGCATTATACCCTGGGGGAACAAAGGGCGCCCGGATCAGACAGTCACGTGGGAACCAGGAGAAACTTTGACGAACAAAGCTGCATTCTAGTAAAAGCATCCCGCCAGAAAAGTACTGCCTCTCGCTGTCAGTTTACGCAAGCTTTATGCAAGGTCGTAGTTAGCAACATCACAGAGAAAAGTCAATGAAAAGCTCCCCAAAGAACAGATAAAATTATTATTCCGGCTCTGTTACTTTACTAGAGTTAGTCATAGAAACGCTGCGTAAGTTCCCTGTCATCCCAGCTCCGGTGTAGCATCGGTAACAGCTTCTGGCATGGGATGCTCATCAACTCATCCTATTATCCTTGATAAAATTCTCTCGCCTCACATCAATAGCTTCAGGAACCAAAACGAGCCAGTGAACACACAAAGGTCATTTTGATAGCCCTGTGGGGTACTACAGGTTGTAAATGGTAAGATCTGCCGCTTCTCACTGGAGGCTGGAGCCAGTGCCTAGATAGCACGGGATTTTATTTTCTGAGAAGATCAAAGGAGAAATGAGTTTGAACAGAAAATTAAACAGCACAGCGCCTTCTTCCACAAAGCTGAGCCCAGCAAAATCCCCAATATTTTAAAACAGAGCTTGACCTCAGTTACCACAAACCTTTGAAGATGCCTCGTATGAGAGGGGCGACGGCTGTGTTGAAGACCTCCTCTTGCTCAACAGAAGGGTCGAACACGTAGTCGTACGTGAATGACTTATCATTGCCTACGACCACCTGCGGAGGAGAGGAGCACAGACAGCGCTGCCCGCACAGCACCCGGGCAGCAAACCCCGGGCAAACCCCGGGCTGGGGGGGGGGAGGCGAGGCCGCCCCCCGAGGGCAGAGGGCCGGCTCCCTTACCTGCGGCTCCCCCGGCACGAAGGACAGGCACATCTGGCACCCTTCGGCCGTCTCCTTCGGCACCAAGGGACGGCAGCGCAGCGCCACACGCACCGGGATCACCTTGTCATCTTCCCTCACCATTTTCGGTCACCGTGAACGCCCTGCGGAGGAACGGAACCGGGTGAGGCCTCGCAGGAGCAGCGCCCGCCGGCAGGGGGGTACCGCCCCGGCAAGGCCTAGCGCTGCGGCCCGGGACCCCGGGGCCCGGCAGGCCGAGGCCTAGGCCGGAGAAGCGGCCGGAGGGGCG